GAGGGGCAGCTGCTGGCTCGGCTCTCCAAGGCGCGTCGCGTGGATGCACAGGTCCGAGTGCGCGTCACCTTTGGCACGATGGCAGTGGCGTGGGCGTGCGAGATTGTGGCGTGTGGGGACCGCTGACAGTCTCTTGGGCGACGGGCCGGTGAGCGAGGCAGACTTTTACGCCCTCTCGCGCATCCCGCTGCCGCTCTATGGCATCCCCGCCGCGCTCGGCCCTGCGCTTGTCCTCCTCGCGTGCCGGCCGCTGGACCACATTGGCGTGCGGCTCGCCGGCGCATTCTGCTGCGCCAGCTACCTGTACTACGTGCGGCCGCACCACACGCATATGACCGTCCTCTCGGGCCCAACCCACTTTCGCGTCTCACGCCGCAAGCACGCCACCGCACCTCCCCACCCCTCCCGCGCAGTTCATCATCGATATCCTCGACTGCATCGAGAGCGACTGGCCCGCCGCCGCCGCGTCGGGCTGGGCGCCGCTCGAGACGGTGCTGCTCTCGCTGCAGCTCTTCGGCATCTTCTTCGCCTCGCTCGGCTCGGCGATCGGCTTCTTCGCCGCGTCTCTCTCCCGCGCGACCCGCGACGCGCTGCGCCGGCAGTGGGTGGTGTTGCGCACGAGCTACGCCCTCGGCGCCGCCTCGTGGGGCACGCAGCGGGCCACGACATGTCGCTGACGCCTCCTGGCCCTGTCTCACAGGCGCCGCCTCGTGGGGCACGCAGTATCTCGTGCTTCTCGCCGTCGGGCGGCCAGTCTCGCCCTACCTCGCCCTCTCGTGCTACTGCGACGGCTTCGGGACGCTGCTCTTCACGCTCTTCTTCACCGAGCGCGTGCGCGGACGCATACACCGCTCGCTTGGGCTCGGGTGGAACGGGAAGCCCGAGACGTGCCGCTCCCTCGCCGCCGTCGCCTCTCTGATCGGGAGCGGCGCCGCGACGTCGGTGATCGAGCGCCGGTGCCGCGACGCGATCTCCTCCTTCCGCGGCGTGCCGTGGACGAGCCTCACGGCCGGCGATTTGGCGGCGGAGTGGGACGGTGAGCTCGAGGCGCGACGGCAGGAGGACCACACGGTGCCGGCGGCGCTGGGCGAGGTGGACGCATTCCTCTCGCACTCCTGGTCCGACGACGGGCGAGAAAAGTACGAGGCGCTGTGCGGCTGGGCCGACGCGTTCGAGGCGGCGTACGGGCGGCCGCCGCTGCTGTGGCTGGACCGCTGCTGCATTCGGCAGGATGACGACATCGCAGCAAGCCTCCTCGGGCTGCCAATCTTCCTCTCCGGATGCCGGTGCCACACGCCCGCTCAATCCCACACTTCTCCCCGCCTCGCACCCGCCCGCCGCCTCGCACCCACCGCACGGCCCTCCCCCGTCGCAGCTCGCTGCTCGTCCTCTACGGCCCGTCCTACTGCGGCCGGCTGTGGCGCCCGCCCCTACTGTCCGCACTGGCGAGAGAGGAGGCGTCGAGCTTGCCTCACCTTCTCCGTGCCTCACCAAGGTGTGTGATGGAGGTCTTCTGCTTCCTCGCGATGGGTGGCAAGCCTGACGACATCCACGTGCTGCTGCTCCCGAGCTCGAGCGGCACGAGCGTCGGCAGCTGCTACAGCGTCGGGAGCACACGCGAGCCTCCGCGAGAAGGACCAGATCC